CTTGGTAAATATCACTGGGCATGGTCCTGAAGAAGTTAGGAAATTGGCGCCTGTCACTCAGACATGGACAGCTCGCGAAGTAGCTGATCTGAAAGATCAGAAGAAAAAAGTTACATAATTTGATATTTTCATTGAAATATACTTATCTTCTTAAAAGAAGCAGGTGTGTTTGACGTGATTTTCGTCCAGACTTAATGTCTGCATCCCCAAAAACTGTTGTTTTCCTGCCCTAGAAGTAAACCTTTCACTGCAGTTTTGAGTAAAATGAGGTCCTCTCCAAGAAAGGAAAATAAAACATTGCCAAGGGTATAAGATAGTGAAGTAAAATATGGCACCAGGTCCCTAAAATAGGGAGAAAGAAGTTACAGTACAGTGTTTATTCTGTATTCAAAACTCACTAAAGGTAAAGAGAGTGGCCCCAGGGTTCTGGAGAGTATCTGTCCTGTTACGGATGAAGGACCACCAATGATTAAGGGAACACGATGATCACCTAAAGACAGCAACAAAAGAAGAAATTAAGGGTTTGTTAGATGAAAAATAATGTTTACAGAACCAAAATGCATCATTTCAATTATGTTATGGACGGAGTATACTGTAGATGCACAACAAGCTACCTCTCCTTTCTATGATTCCTTCTCCAGCAGAATAGTCTGGAGGGTCTGTTGAATTACAGCTGGCATTGTCTCCTCCAACCAGTGACAGTGCTGTCTTGAGAGCCCACGGCGGTCGGCCACAGCTATCTAAGATATGGTACCCCAGCTTCACACCTGGTAGCAGCGTTATACTGTGATTGATTTCCTCCACCGCAAACACCATAGCATATATGTACTGTAATGGAACATTTCCTAAACTGAGACCACAGGAAGAAGAAATGAAAAAGAGAGAAATATCAATCAAAATGTCGAAGCCACCAGTATTGATCTGGATTTTTAAGTTTCTGTCATATAAAGAAAGTCCCAAGTTGCAAAGATGCTAATTATTGTTCTGCAATCATTGTCATTCCACAGTATTGAAAGTAAATAGTGCAGAGCAGAGTTTTACCCAGTGCAAGGCTTGTAGTGCGGCAGCTGAGTGAAGTCGTTGTCGATAGCTGGAGGTTGGTAGTGAAGAGCAAAGAGCCCACCAATCACTACATCTCCATCCTGCAGCAGACCCTGGTTGCCGGGTGCACCCCACCGAGAGCAAGTCGCTGTCTGAACACACTGCAGTCCCACCCTGAGCCCCAGCTGTCTGCCCACAAGCCAGACTAGGAGCAGAGATGGGACTGAGGAGGACCACACAGTGAAGAGACAGGAGAACCAACACATGGATGCAGCTGTTCTGGACACTTAGAATATGTACAATATACTCAGTTAGGTTTCTCAGAGGCAGTACATTCAACATACATAAACAGTTATGCAATGAAAAAGTAAAATCCCTCACAATGCAGTAGGAAAACGTTATATTTCTAGACGTCCACCTAGAGCAAAAACACTTTGAAGTTCAGTTGCATAGCCAACTGACAGTATCCTGTGACATACCCCCTCGTCTTCTGAACAGTTGAACCGTTGATGTGGGTACTTATAATATATGTAAAGCCTTTTTGCAACCAAGTAAACAGGATGGCACACAATCCCAAATTACTCCTCTCAAGAGTGATAGTAAGACAATAACAGCATGATGGCAAATGATTAGTGTGTGTGTGTAGGTGGTGGAAGTGCAAAGTGTGTGTACATGAAAGCCAATGTATTAGTTTTTCCTTTATAAAATTGAGTTCTTCAATACTTTATTTTATATGCAGGAAATCTATGTTTTCTTGATATTCGGGTCAATGGGCCGGCCTGGTGTACAACAGTTCCTGCTGACCTTTGCTTTATTGGTGAGACAAACATGTAGCACAAATGCACATTTCAAGCAAAAGCTGATAAAGGTATTTTTTAAAGAGGCATCTGTAAGGCTGGCATAACTGTCACATCTATGTTATAGAAGCTGACCTCATGAATATAAATGACTGTTGTCAATAACGACACTCGGTAAAGAAAATACTCTGTCAGTGCAGAGTTGCAGCTACTGTTAAGATTTGAAGGCAAAAGCACTTACTCATCAACAAATGATACATTCAGACCATATCCTTGTAACAGTTTTAGAAGGACACACCAAGTCTCATCATTGAACTATATGTATGGGCTTTTAGTGTGTTTTAAGATGGCTCTCAAAAGCAGTTTTTGCTATTCCCTCAGACCAGATCACATTCAGTTCGGTTCATCTTTATTGTCCTTCATGGGTAATTTGACTTGCAGCATCGAAAAAACAGACAACAGACAACAGACACTACAGGTATTACCTATTAGGGGTAAAAGATTAGGTCAGTAATTCTGAAAGGTTCTTTGCAGGTTTCCATAGATCGTGGTTATACCTGGACCGTGGTCGTGCCTCCTGCCATGACCGTGCTGACATCCACTGCTACTATCATTATTATTATTAGTCACATTAGTGTTACTATTATTGATAACATTTCTGCTTTTATTATCATTATTATTCTACTATATCCACTGCTCCTGTTAGTAGTCGTAATTTTTTAATTTTTATTCTGCTTACTACTCGTTATTTGACTCATTTATGTTGTATGCATTGAATGTGTTGTAACTCTGTTATTTTGTTCATTCTGTACACATGACATCTATTGCACTTCTGTCCATCCTTGAAGAGGGATCCCTCCTCTGTTGCTCTCTCTAAGGTTTCTTCTTAAAAACAGGGAGTTTTTCCTGTTCCGATGTGAGGGTCCTGGGACAGAGGATGTCGTATGTGTACAGATTGTAAAGCCCTCTGAGGCAAATTTGTGATTTTGGGTTGCAAAAAAACAAATTGATCTGAATGGAATTTAAACTATTAATAATATTTAGTGGGATTTTGACCTTTGGTCATTCTTCAGATCTGGATCAAAGAGGTAAAAAGCTAAAGATCTGGATTTGTTTGATATACCAACCGAGACATCACCGTAGTTTACTGCTTTAAAATGTTTGATTTATGTTAGTGTGCATTTCAAACAAGACTACTGCAAATAAGGTTTGATGTTTTGATTCCAATCCCCTGCTGACTGACTGAAGAGGATATGGTTTAACTAATACATGTTGAAGTCCTCAGCTTTCTCTTTAGGTATTTTCTCAAATTTCATAACAACTCCAAAATGAAATGATGAAATGATAAAGTTGGAATCTGTCGTGGTGTGACCACCATTGTATTTCTCTCCCGACAATACTTCACATGGACTCTCTCCTGTGATTCACACCTGATCTACTAAAAAATGGTAATTCAGTAAATCATTGTGAAGTACAATCTGATGTAAGTCCTTCTCACTTTGATTCTCTGCTCAAAATAAATGTGCATGGCACAACCTGTGATGCAAATAGTTGCATAACTGCAAAAAAACTGAAACACAACCTCGAATTCTTTTTTATTTATGTTTATTAATGTTGCTGTTTTTCTCAAGTGGTACAAGGTGTCATTATTAATAGTTGTTAATGTTAAAGCAATAAAATAGGCCTATGTTTTCATTTTGATTACTTTTTTTTTTTTACTTATTCTTTTTTTATTTATAAAAAATTAGTTATAATTTATAACTATTCTGTCAGGCATTATTGGTCAATAACTAATAGTAGCCAGCAGAGAGTGGCAAAAATTAATCATTTCAGGATATGTCACATTTTAGGAACATCTGAAAAAAAGAGTGTTTTTTTTAGTAGGCCTACTATATACATAAAACAAATGCCAGGACATATGGACTCAGGTGTATTGTTAATTTCTCTGCTACCTGGCCATCAGGTGTTTCCTAGTATTTTTCTTCGGCCTCAAGAGAATAATGAAACACTTTGGAGCGAAGATACAGAGCAGTAAACCATAGCTAGAGGCGAGAATTGCAAAAATCTCCACAGCAACAGCATATTTTCCAGGAGAGCTAACATAAGCAGGAACAAAAGCTATCCAAACAGCACAAAATATCAGCATGCTGAAAGTGATCAGTTTGGCCTCATTGAAGTTGTCAGGGAGTTTCCGAGCAAGAAAGGCCAGGAGGAGACAGGTGCAGGCCAGCAGACCAATGTAACCCAGAACCAGAGAGAAGCCCACCACAGAGGCCATGGCACACTCCAAGGTGACCTTTAACCCTGGGATATCCAAGTCAACTTGAGGCACAGGGGGGCTGAACAGTAGCCAGATAATACAGATGAAAACCTGGATGAAAAAAAACATTGTACAATATCATGTTAATGTAAGAAAAATATTGTAATAGGTATTCATTTTGTTATTAAAAAGCTTTTCTGCATTTCTGACCTGTATAAAGGAAAAGAGGCAGACACTTCCTCTCTGTTGTCCTGGACCAAACCACTTCATCAGGTTTCCAGCACCAGGCCGAGCTGAGCGGAAAGCTGCCAGAACAACTATAGTCTTGACTTGAAGGCAGGAAACACAAAGTACAAAGCTGATCCCAAAAGCTGCCTGTTGGAACCGACAAGACCAGACTGATGGATGGCCAATGAAGACCAGTGAGCACAGGAAGCACAACTTCAGGGACAGGAGAAGCAGGAAGCTCAGTTCTGAATTGTTGGCTCGGACCTTTAAATAAGAATTGGGATTAATTTGGTTTTAAAAAGACAAGCACATTAACCACCAAAGATAGATTCATTCAGATTATTTCAAACACATTCTAATATACAGTTATGCACAATTATATTTTCTAAATATGCTAACCTAACACATTCTCACAATTACGAACTGAAAATCTCTGGATTCTCACCATAGGTGTTTGACGGTAGTAAAGAAAAACTACAAATACAGCTGTTGTCACCGCTGCACCAGACAGAGCTGCTGTAGTCAGGGTGATGCCCAAGGTTTCATTAAAGGAAAGGA